CTTGTGGTATTTCTGTTATAGCAGCACTAGATGACTAAGACAGTGATTAATTAAAAACTTTAGTTCATTTTGTTCTACTGTCTCCAAAGACTTTCCATTCTATACTAATATAAGAATTTACATTTATTTCCATTAGATTCTAGATAACTGAAGTGAAACCTGATACAACAGTCATAGCATACAGTGACACTATTGTCTCTAGTTGCTGGATTCTTATTATTTCTTTGTCCATCACTCAGTTAACACTACATATGACTCTAGTTGCTTGAGCAAAGCATAATGTTTTGCACATAGTAGATGATATATATATACCTAGTATTTTATGCACATGCACATTATATATATTATATATATAAAATAGAAAGAGAGAGAGAGAGAACTACAGAGATTGATACCAAGGAAATGGCTAACATGGTTGTTGTTCTTGTTTTAGATGCTGTTGAGTTGGTTCTGACTAATAGTAACCCTACGTACAACAAAACGAAACACTGCCCTGTCCTGCTCCATCCTCATGATCGTTGCTATGCTTGAGCCCATTGTTACAGCCACTGTGTCAATCCATCTCCTTGAGGGTCTTCCTCTTTTCTGCTGACCCTCTACTTTACCAAGCATGATGTCCTTCTCCAGTCCCTCCTGATAACATGTCCAAAGTATGTGAGTCAAAGTCTCATCAACCTCGCTTCCAAGGAGCATTCTGGCTGTACTTCTCCCAAGACAGACTTATTTGTTCTTTTGGCAGTCCATAATATATTCTATATTCTTTGTCAACACCACAACTAAAAGGCATGGGTTCTTCTTCAGTCTTCCTTATTCATTGTTCATCTTTCACATGCATATGAGGTGACTGAAAACACCAAGGCTTGGGTCAGGCTCACCTTAGTCCTTAAAGTGACATTTCTACTTTTGAACACTTTAAAGAGGTCTTTTGCAGCAGATTTGGCCAATGCAATAAGTAGTTTGATTTCTTGACTGCTACTTCTGTGGGTGTTGATTGTGGATCCAAGTAAAATGAAATCCTTG